TTATCTGATAGTGGGATTGCTGGACCAATTGGTGTTTCTATTCCCAACTTACTAAGGAAGTACCAAACTGCATTCCATTGAGGCTGCATCATTTTCCATCCCCATCAGCAAGGTATGAGAGTTCCAACTTCTCCACATCCTTGTCAGCATTTATTGTTTGCTGTCTTAATGAACATTATGAGTAGTACTGTTAAGGTGCAATGTTATCTCACTGTTGTTCTGTTGTTTTGATTTACATCTGATAGCATCTCCAGTATTTCTTCATGAGGTTGTTGGCCACTTGAATGTATTTTTAGGCGAATTGTCTTTTCATATTCTCTGGCCATTTCATTATTGGAGTTTGGGTCTTTTTGTTGTGGAGGTGCTAGAATTTTCTACAAATTTTAGAGATGAGTCCTTTGTCCAATTTTTTACTTTCCCCTAGTCTGCAGGCTGGTTTTTCACTTTTTTGAAAAAAGAGAGAAAAGGAGGACTGTCAAAGATGGTGGACAGACACCTGAATTGTGCTCTTCCACTAGTAGTTTAAACACAACTTCTGCAAACTGATTTGGACCAAAGTCTTCCAGTCTTGCTTTCTCTTAAGAAAATCTTCTGAAGTCCTACACAATTGTGCGTGTACGTATGTATGTATGTATGTATCTAAAGAGAGACTCAGTTCTAAATCCTCTTCTGTGTGCAGTCCCATGTGCCTCTGCATAACTAATAAAGTCTCGTTTCTGTCATAAACTCAAATCCCCATGGCCAGCTGTGAATTGTCACTAGCGTCTAGTACCCTCCTTACTACTATAATCTGTCTGTCTGCTTTTCCTTCAAGCCTGCTTTGTTTAGGAGTACTTAGGTAAAGGAACCTTTGTGGTTTCATGGGATAAGCTTTGGGCTATTAACCAAAGAGGTGGTGGTATGAACTCTCTGAGACATGAGATGGTATTCTGCTTTCTTAATATTTTGCAGCTTCAAAACTCTTAGAGGAGGTCTACTCTGTTCTATAAGGTACCTATGAGTTGAAACATAGTTGAAGTGGCAAGCAACATGGCACCTAAAAACAATGTGAAGGCAGTGGGTGCTTTATTGGTTTGTTTTGTGGCTTTATCTCCCTCTGGTTTGGACAGTGTAAACCCTTAGTGGACTTGGCTGCTAAACAACTCAGAAGAAACCTGGCAATCTTACTGATGGTTTACTTAGACTTTAAATGTATTTTGTGCATGTCTAGAATACAGGAATAGTTTTGGTAGCTAAAGGTTAAGCATTCAGCTGCTAACCAAGACTGGTGATTTTTATTTATCAGCTTTTGAGCAGGAAAAACACTGGAAAATGTATTTTTATCAAGATCTGAAGCCTTGGATAGCAAAGACGACAGTTCTGCTTTGTCCTACACAGTCTCTGAGTGTTAGAACTGACAATGCTAACAGGATTGTGTGTGTAGGTGAAGCTAAGGGGAAGATCCATGTTAGCTGTATCCTAAAGTTCATGCCAACAAAGTGTCACACACAGCATATAGGGTCCTTTCTCTCTGGGAACATGCTAGCTTTTGAGGCATGTGTTCAAAGGCAAGCTCAAATGTTGAAACTTCAAGATGGGTATAGATTTGACAAAGAGGACTTTTGGACAGATTTATGTAAGGACAATTTCATAAGAGTGCCACATGATTTGGAAAGACTAGCAAGACACAAAAAAGGTAGAGTCATTTGTAATCAGAATGTGCAAGCTGTGGTAGTAGGATTTTTTTTAAATGGCTTTTCTTTCCATTGCCTTAGCCTTCCCTGAGGGTGTGGTATCCAGCTGCCTAAACTGTAGACAGATGGTTTGTTGCCGATTAGCATCTTCAATATCACCAAAAAGTGCAAGTCAGTATAAAAGAGAAAGCTATCCAGACTGTAAAGAGATGTGAAAAGGTGTGGCCTGACAAGAGCTTTGGAGAGAGAGCCACAGTTAAAAGATTTGCTTGTTGGATGATTAAGAAAATCAGAGGTAGCTTCTTATATTTTGTTGCTGGACTGAACCTGTATTTTCACTGTGCTTGTGATAGCCTTTGCCTCCCCTCGCTCCCCGCCCCACCCAACTTATTTTCCTAATAAACTCCATAACTTTTGCAACAAATTTTGGACCGGGCGATCAGTAGAAGTAGGTACAGCATAGCTAGTAGTTTGTTATTATGGATGTTGTTGATGGGGACAGTTCTCCTTTATAGAGTTAACAATGATTGAACTTGGTGGTCTCCATGTTGCCCTTGCTCCCCTTACAGTTGCACCTTTTTATTATTATTATTATTATTTTCAATGAACATTTACAGAGATTGTGGATTTCCATTCATTCATTGTTGCCCTTTTCTCTC